AATTGTAGACTGTTGTTTATTTATTTTTCAGCTTTGTGTTTTTGTGTTAAAAGTTTTGATGGGAGCTTGTTATTCCACTTCGTCTGTTTTGGAGCTAACTTGTGCAGAGGAGAAGATGTTTTTTAAGTTATATATATTGCTATACCTTTAAATTCAAGAAGTATGGTTGTATTGTATTTAAAGAGGCGTGAATTTGTAAAATAGGTTGAATGTGAATAATGAGTCAAATAAGACTCACAATGGCTTGTTTTCTACATTTAATCTACAACAAAACTACATATCATTTGAAAAATTAATATGAAAATACAGAATTTCAATGTTTCTACAAATTATCTACAAAATATCTACAAACTGGGTACATTGAATTTTAATATCCCAATTCCCATTCAATTTTAGCATAATTGGGATTTTCAACATAATTGCGTTTTTTGCAGAAGATTTGTAGAAGTTTTAGTCGTTTTTTATTTGTGAAAACAAAAAATAAAGCATCTACAATCAGAATATAAATAATCTACAATTTATCTACAAAATATCTATAAACTGGGTACATTGAATTTTAATATCCCAATTCACATTCAATTGTAGCATAATTGGGATTTTTGACATAATTGCGTTTTTTCAGAAGATTTGTAGAAGTTTTAGTCGTTTTTTATTTGTGAAAACAGAAAATAAAGCATCTACAATCAGAATACAAATAATCTACAATTTATCTACAAAATATCTACAAACTGGGTACATATTTGGACTCGACATGCTTCCCCTGAAATGTATGTTTCACATTTTTGATACATATTTTTGTCCAAAACAGTACTAAATCATCCACTTAAATACAATTTTTATACAATATTGTTCAACTTTCATACAATAGGTGAATGAATAGAAGAAAAATAAATAAACAATAGTCCACAATTTTTCTACAATTTATCTACAATTTCTGCAATATAATGTATGTCATGTCTTCTTCTTCTTCTTCTTCTTCTTCTTCTTCGAGTTTCAACCCGAAATTCAGCCAAAACCAAGTCTAATCTTCACCAAAACCCCTCAAAATTGAGATATAAACTCCAAACCATATTCCCATTTATTTACAACAACACCCAATCCAAACAAATAATGATTTTTGAAAACCCAAATTTCAATTCAAAGCTTCAAAGCTTTTTAATGGTTGTCAATGGTGGAATTGCTACTCTCTTTTCCTTTGCTTTGTATTACTGAAATTTGGACATAATTGTGTTTGATGTAGAAGAATTGTAGAAGATTTTGTCGATTTTGATTTGTGAAATCAGAGAAAATGTTGAAACAGAGTGTATCGCAAAAACAGAGTACGGAAATTTTGTAACGAAGTCGACGAAAGGTATTACTGTGCGTGATTTGCGTTGGGGAAGATCTGGAAAATATTTAATTTCCCTTTTTTAGCGCGTCTAAATAAGGAATCATAAAGCTACAGTGATTCCTTATTTAATGCATTTTATATATTATGTAGAAATACTATTAGCATGAATGGTAATATGCAAACTATGAACATATTTGGTAATATAGTTTCATATATGGTATATATATGAAAATTTTCCTTAATGCTTGGTGTTTACTCCTTAAACGTGTATATATTAATGTTTTTTTATAGCAGGTACATGACAAAATAGTCGATGTGTACGTGAGTTGCCTTAAGTTGATTTCTACTTATAAAAATCAACAAAAATCAAGTGTAATGTAGAAAAAAGGGCATCCTGGTGTACAAAGTATCTCGCGTTTATGCAAAGTTCAGGGAAGGGCGGCATCTCAGGGAGTGTAATATAGGCAGCTTATCCTGATGCAAGTATCAGTGGCTGGTTCGGCTCGAACCCGTGATCCCTAGGTTATACAAAAACAAATTTACTGTTGCTGCAAGACTTCCCTTCAAGTCTGATGTAGAATATAGAAATAATAAACAGGAGATTAGGCTTTCATGACTGGGGCTCTAAATTAACCAAATGTGGCGGCATCGTTAATGCTTGGTGTTTACTCCTTAAACGTGTTTATATTAATTTTTTTTATAGCAGACACATGACAAAATAGTCGATGTATACGTGAGTTGCCTTAAGTTGATTTCTACTTATAAAAATCAACACAAATTAAGTTAGTTTACTAAATATGTAAACCTATGAACTAAATATAAAGCAAATCTAATATAAATCAATGAACTAATGTGAATCATCCTCTGGATAATTAAAAAGGTAAGTTCCTCCTCCTGAAGAAATTGAGGTAATTAGATAAATCTAAAAGAATTTAGATATAAAAAATTACAAAGTACTATTTATGATCGATTTAGTTCATTCTTGTTCAAAATTCTTTATATTCACTAATAAACCCAAATTTTAGTATTTGTCATAAAATAACAACCGTAAAGTAAATAAATCGAAGACAAGTATAGAAAGAGATTGATATTATTCAACTTCAAACTGGTGTACATAATCTTCTACTTATAGAAGTAAGGAATCTGCTGCTGCTACTGCAAGCTGCTGTGTAAGCTGCTACTATACCAAATATGGATAATCTTTTACTGAGAGTAATGTTTATCCATAACGAAGTACTGAAAGGATAAGCTCATTGTACCAGGTATAGATAATCTTCTACTGGGGGTAATGTTTATCCATAACGGAGTACTGAAAGGATAAGCTCATTATACCAGGTATAGATAATCTTCTATTGGGGGTAATGTTATCCATAACGGAGTATCGAAAGGATAAGCTTATTATACCCGGTATGGATAATCTTCTACCGGGGGTAATGTTTATCCATAACCAGGTACCGAAGTGATAAGCTTATTCAGGAGGCTTATTTCCAATTGAGTACTAAATAGATAAACATATTTACAGCGGAGTCCCATATGGATAAGCTTCTTCAGAAAGCTTATTTACAACGGAGTACTAAATGAACATCCATAATATAATATATTTATAACACTCTCCCTTGGATGTTCATTAAGAGATAATGTGCCTCATTAAAACCTTACTAGGATAAACCACGTGGGAAAAAATCCTAGTGAAGGAAAAAGAGTACACATATTTAGTAATACACATTGCTAGGTGCTTCATTAAAAACCTTATAAGGAAAACCCTGTGGGAAAAAACCTTAGTAAGGAAAAAAGAGTGCATCGCGTATTTTACTCCCCCCGATGAAAACCTTGTTTCAAATATTTGAGTCTCCGCATTTTAATCTTGTATCTGCATAACCAATACGATCTGCACCACCTTTGTTAGCATTAGCAAGATACATAAATGCATAAAAATTGTACTGAGATAGAGTATTCCAGGACCAAGGAGTTCCTCATCCTCTTCTGGAGGTCGGAACGGATCCTTATTCACTTCAAGTGATCGAACACCCATTGGTGTACTTAATGGGTGCGCTTTGTCCGTGTAAAAGCGTTTAAAAACCCTTTCTGTATAGGCAAATTGATGGATAAAGATCTCGTCTGCTAAATATTCAATTTGCAGACCAAAGACAATTTTTATTTTTCCAAGATCTTTCATCTCAAATTCTTTCTCAAGATATTCAATTGCCTTTTTGGAGCTCTTCTGGAGTTCCAACAAGATTTATGTCACCAACATAAACAGCAAGTGCAACAAATTCTGATGACATTTTCTTTATAAAAATACATGGACAAACAACATTATTTATGTAACTTTTTTTCAGCAAATATTCACTGAGGCGATTATATCACATGCGCCCAGATTGCTTTAAACCGTACAAATATCTTTATAATTTGATCGAGTACATTTCTCAAGACTTTGAATTATATGGTTCAGGCATTTTAAATCCTTCAAGGATCTTCATATAGATTTATTTAATCAAATAAGTCATATAGGTTATGACTTGTATCTAAATGGTATGACATCTTCAAGTGTCTGGACTGCTGGTCCGATCCTCACAATCTTTTACAATATTGTGCACTGTATTGTATCAAATATATAGTCGACGATCATTTCATATCGGTTCGCAAGTGGCATAACTTGTTGAGATCTCATTACTTTCTTTATTTTCAGGTACCTGAACTTCTTATGGAGTTTTATGAAATGTTATGTCATGGGCTCTTCTAGAGCTCATTTCCTCCTCATTATGATCATTTTGATCATTTGATCCTATCCTTTTCAAGGATTGTTACCTTTGGAACCGATCGATTTACTACGCTTCATGCGTGTAGTAAACTTTATCCTTCAGGGACTTTAATTTTAATAGGAGCATTTGCAGCTGAAATATGATATTTAATTTTGGATCAGCAAATGCTTCTGGCATTCGACTTGAATTATATTGTAAGTGAGGATCATATTAATGATAATTCGATTCATATAGCATATTTTTCAGTTGTTTATTCCATCCCCCAAATGTTAGAAAAACTAACATATATCCCCAATCATCTTTGGGAAACATATCTTTGTGTATTATGGTAGAGAAATTAATCATATACCACGCGACAAAAGATAGTAAAAATATTTGGTTTCGGATCTTAAACCAATTGTGAGGGGAGGACTTATCATATAGTGTTGGTCTGATGCATACAGGTGCTGCTATATGCAATTTAGAAAATATTAGACCAACACATGAAGCTTTGTTCTCATAAGCAATGGTTTAGCCATTAATAGGAGGTATTCAATGCTAAACCAGCTTGGATATAAACCACATTATCAATATGAACTGTCTTGATTTCATAATCTGAAAATTATGCTCTTAATTGAGAGAAACAATTCCAAATGCCAAACTGCAGGTTGACAATAATTACACATGTAACCATCTCATATATGCATCTATAAGTGGTTCACATGATAGGTGAATGAGCCCATATTCACCTTTTATATATTTTAGAATCAGGGGTCTTAGTCCCAACTTTAGCTGGTATAATCAATTTATTATGAGAACAAGCAACACAAGAGAATTCTTGAAGAATCTTCTAGTTCTTCAGTTTATGCTTATCTGAATTCTCAAATAGCTCATTTAAAAATGGCAAATGAAAACTTCAAGTTTATCATGGCATGTGCTATCTCTTAGTAAACTTCTGGTTTACTATGGCATAAACTTTTGCATTAGTAAACTTCTGATTTACTGTGGCTACTTTTGTATCAGCGAATTTCTAATTTATTGTAGCTACTTTAGCCTCCGTAAAACTTCTGATTTACTGTGACTGCTTTTGCTTTAGTAAACTTCTGATTTACTGTGATACATGATATAGTACAAATTAAAGAATAAGGCGGGTAACTTCTCACATACATATTATTTTACCCCTATAATCGTGGAAATATGAAATTTTTTAATCTTCCAATCATTTGTAGTCTCAATATAGCCATTTGTATTGGTAAACTTCAGGTTTACTACAACATATGTTTTGACCATAATCATATAATATGAATGACATATTTGCATATAAGCTCTTCGAGAACCTTCATTTATTATCCACAATCTAATATTTATCAGACACTACTGGTGTCATGTGTCTTCTAGACAAACAGTTAGCTCTTAAGGAGTTTTTGATAAATTTTGTACTACCAAATATTGTTCAAACACTTCTAGTCATGAGAGAAAATCATAATCAAATGAATAATATAAAGCCAATTCTAAATTTATAAATGACGAAAATTAAGAATTTTAATATTTCTACCACTAAATTTGTAACAAATATCTCCTTCAAGGAGAAATATCGTTAACATCTCAATATTTTGTATCAATGCGGCCACCACATTGTCATTGCATCCTTTAAGGAAAGATACACGAGTTGTTATTGGAACTCAATAACTAACCATAATATATTAATGTGGTTGTAGTAGAGAACATTCTACAAGAATGCTTACGTGAGGCAATGATCTTTATGCCACAAAAATGATATTTATATCCTTTATTATTCTACCTCTTCAGGAGGTGAGTTGTGATATTTCTTCATTCACTCCAGGAAATAAAAATGTGCTTCAAAAATAACTTTGAATAGCTCATTATTTTGTTTAAGCACAAAAAGACAGTTTCATAATATTTTCCTGCTTCAGGAGAAAATTTCAATTGTTTTACTACTTCAGGAGTAAATTTAAAATACGAAATATTGAGTATATATTCTCTCAATCATATTACCTTTTCTGGAGGTGAATCGTAATATATTTACATTAAGAGCGCGTTCATATTTACGACTTTATTAATATTGTCACATTCACTTCAGGGAATGGATTAATATTATGAAAAGTTCTCATCCTTCAGGAAATCGAACGTAATTATCTGAACGTGCATTAATCACATCAAATTTTGATGCTTCAACCTCTTTTAAAATATTTACTACTTCAGGAGCAAATCGAGGCGTGCATTTAATATAGAGAATATCTATGTAGCATATCTTCAACTGTAACCATAGAAAATCTAAATTATCACTTCTGGTGGTCATAGGCATATACCACTTCTGTTGGTTAACGAAATTTAGTTACAATCAGATATACAAAATATAACCACTTCTGGTGGTTGTATATTTCTTGCAAACTCTGCTGGAGTTTAAGTGGATCTAACAACGTTATCCACTTTGTAATCCTTTATTAAGATAATTAAGATGAAAACAAATACCAAAATAGATATTATATACGTAGCATATAACCGAGCTAAGCGATGATAATTAAAGTTTACTTGGTACATAGCCTCTTCCATCTTCAAACACACAGCTTCAAATTTGTGGTATATGTTTCCAACCCATGATACCCTTTTCATATCCATCGCATAACCCTTTAACAACTTTCCGTGGATTCAACGAAGTGAGTGCTTATTCCTTGGTTATAAATTGTGTAACATCTGCCAAAAACGATACTCACCTCAAGGAGCGTCGACTGAAATAGAAATTAAATTCAAAGTAAATGCTCAAAATAGCAGAGTCACGTGCTGATAACGTGTTATAAAATAACAATTGTAAAGTAAATAAATCGAAGACAAGTATAGAGAGCGATTGATATTATTAACTTCAAACTGGTGTATATAATGAACTAAAATCTCTTCTACTTATAGAAGAAAAGAAGTTGTTGTGTAAGCTGCTACTATACCAGATATGGATAATCTTCTACTGAGAGTAATGTTTATCCATAACGGAGTAATGAAAGGATAAACTCATTGTACCAGGTATAGATAATCTTCTACTGGGGGTAATGTTATCCATAACGGAGTACTGAAAGGATAAACTCATTATACCAGGTATAGATAATCTTCTACTGGAGGTAATGTTTATCCATAACGGAGTATCGAAAGGATAAGCTTATTATATTCGGTATGGATAATCTTCTACCGGGGGTAATGTTTATCCATAACCGGGTACCGAAGTGATAAGCTTCTTCAGGAGGCTTATTTCCAATAGAGTACTAAATAGATAAACATATTTACAGCGGAGTCCCATATGGATAAGCTTCTTCAGGAAACTTATTTACAACGGAATACTAAATGAACATCCATAATATAATATATTTATAACAGTATTCGTTTTAACAACTTCACATCACCCATATTAAATTGAAAAACACTTTAGCTTGATTTTTCACTTTAAAGATGATCCCCATAAAGATATTCTAACCCAATTTCATTTTTTCTTCCATTTCAACACCAATTACACAAGAATCAAAGAAGTCTATACTAGAAAATCACTATGAAATCTAAAAAAAAGATCTATCTTAATGAAAATAAATTGCGATAGGGGACAAAAACCCTGACCATAATTAATATCTAACTTTGACATGTGAAATACATAATATTTTTAGTTTTGAATGACACATTTAAAAGTTTAATCAGTAGGATGGTGCTCAACTTTTATAATTTAAAGGATGATATGTACTCAAGCCTCAAGGTAGGAACTTCTCCTTTTAATTGGATACTTTGGACTCCCTATTGTGCTTATAGGATTAAATTTAATATCAAAGGCGGTGTCAAGACTTAAATTAAAAATGCTACTTTTAAAGAGATTTCAGAGATAATTAAGAAAAATAAATGTCAAAAATCAAGATATTGAGGTAAGCTACCTAGTTCAAGCCTCATTACATAACTCCGAAGTATCAAATGAGGATTAGCTTTGAGCCATATAGCTAAGAAATTTATTTTTAGTTGTTTGGTTTTTCCGGTTATATATAAAAAGAAGGGCAAAAATCATTTTTAAGCTGCGTGGTTGAAATTATTCAAAATTCGATAGTCGCAAAAATATATAAGTTTGTATATTTGTTGTATATAATATATAAAATTATATACAAAAAAAATATTTTTTCAACTATTATTTAGTTATACAATGTCATTTTCCAAAAAAGAAAAAAAAAAAAAAGCAAGCACTTGTCCTTTAAACAAAAATGAAAAAACAATTTATGCGTCAAGCGTAGGTTAATTATTAAACAATACTGTATATTTTTTCCTCTCTCCATCTTAAACCCTAAAAAACCCTCACTCTAAATTCTAGGGTCAGCAACCGCTAAACCCAAAACTCACTTCTATCATCCTCATCTTCTCTCAATCAATTTGCTTTCCGATTCTTCGATTCCGTTTCTACACGATAGCGATAGAAGATGAAGAATCTGAAGATATTGAAGGAGCAATTGTCGAAGATTCAGTTAAATTCCGAGGATGAAGTTATCAGCTTCGCAGCATTTGACGTGGAGCACAATCGCCTCTTCTTAGCTTCCTCTTCCAACTTCATATACAGTTTACTTCTGCCTTCTCCTCATGTAAGTTTTTTACCAAATTGTTTTACTTTTTCTTATAATAATTACTCGTTTCATTTTATGCGAACCTGTATTTGATTGAGTACCGAGTTTAAGAAAGAAATATAGACTTCTGAAACTCATGGTGTTAAAAAGATCATAATTTGACTCCTAAACTTTTAAATCCAAAGTTTTGGGAAAAAAATTGTTTTCCTTTTTTTAATACCTTGGTGTCGGGGCAGCTTGCGCCTACCTTGACTAAATCCACCATGTACTTGTTATCTCCCACCTACAATGGTATCGGTAACTCTGCCCACCATGACTTGGTAAGATAGGGAAGAAATAACCTAGTGTTTTAGTGTTTTTTGTAAAAAAGTTTATTTCTTTAAGCAACAAAACAAACAGAGTCTGAATTCAACGAATTTTCAACCAAACGTATTTTTCAGTACTATTAAACACATATGAATTGACTTAGCAGCACCTTTTGTTACAATGTGGCAACAGTAGAAACAGATGTACCTAACTAAAGCAATCGTCTAATCTCTTGCTTATTACTATAACTAGCACAGTGGATGATTATTTATTCTAATATTAAGAAATGCAAATGGAAGAAGCAAGGATTGATTATGGAATTGAAATACATATAATTGCTGATTGGATAGTCAAGGTTGAGTTTGGAGTTGTATCCAAGGAAACTTACTTGTGATATCTTAGGAGATGACAAGTACACTGTCCAATTTTATGTGATACAATTACTATGTGGGCAGTGGAATATTTTCCCCCTTTTTTGGATAAGAAAATTTTAAAAAATAAATAAATTTCCCTTGGAGACCCCAGTAGTGGGATTTTACTGGGTATGTTGTTGTTGTAAATAAATTTCCCTTGAAGAAGATCATCAAAAGAAGTTAGGTTTGATTAGTAGTGCTTTTCAGATCTTTCTTAGTTATAAAAATTGATCTGTAGAAAGATAAAAAAATTGGCCTAATTCAGCTTGGATTTGGCATACTCTAAATTTTGTCATTCGTTTGGAGTACAAGGAGTTCTAAATTTATACATAAACAGTAGTGTGCTATGTTTCAGGTTGTGTTTGCTTGTATATGTCTAGCAAGTTTACTTCAGGGAACAGTGCAAGGGTGATAGTGGGAAAATCATCAACCCCGCAAAACTTTATTTGCAAAAATAAAAAAGATCTGAAAGTTGATTTTCTCTTCTCTTAGAACATTTAAATGTGGTCAAGTAAATTTAGGTGTGAAAGTGGCTTCTCCTAATAAAAATTGGAGAAAATGAAGATAACTTGCACATCAAGTTATGATGCAGGCTAAATGCTCATGATATTGCAGAAGCTCATTTAAAAGATTTAAAAGTTGTCTGCGAGGTGTGCCTAGAGGCAAAGAAAGGTTTATTGCCTTCCATTCTTCTTCCTTCCCTTGTCTCATGTGGCTTAATGAAGGAGAAACTTCCAATAGTTCATAAGTTTCTGCATGGGGTCCATAGAGATCTTTATCATTCTATTTTATGGCCAGGGCTTATATGTCAATTTTCCTCTTCCTCGCTGAAAAATCTTTCTCTGACTAGCTTGGTGCTGTAGCAGAATGCAGGAGCTTGGAATTCCATATCAGATAACCTTATTGACTTAGAGCCTGGGGATTTCATTACTTCCATGGATTATCTAATGGAAAAAGAAGCATTGATTATTGGGACTTCATATGGTCTTCTATTGCTATATACTGCGGATGATAATACGACAGAAATTGTTGGCCGAGTGGAGGGTGGAGTAAAGTGTGTATCACCTAGTCCAGATGGAGATCTTCTTGGTGTAATTACTGGTTTTGGACAAATTCTCATGATGACACCAGACTGGGATGTTTTATATGAGATGGCACTGGATGATCTGCCTGAAGATATTGACGTACGTAAGGACTTCTTTCCATATATGTGAACTAATAAATACTTTTTCTTCTTCAAATGAAGTTCTATCATCCTTAAAATGCTCTTTTGGTGATTATGTGTACATTTCTGGAATAGTTTTTGTAGATGAAATTCTTTGAAATCACAAGCATGTCATCGTTTTTGCTTGCTATATACCCATGAATGATGATGAACTAGCACATTTTCATCTACTGAGATCATTTTACTATCGTCTTTTCCAGGTGCAAGGTATAATATTTAGAGGATTGTATTTAACTGAATAAGCATTTTCTTATTTTACAGAAAGTTGAACTGCGGAAAATTCTAATTCTAGTTTTGTTTAGGTAGGTTTTCATAATTTTTTCGAAGTTGAAACTTATGTGTATTTTCCAGACAGTGTAAGATTTTGCTTAATATGATAAACTTGTGCAGTAGTTGTAGTAACAAGAATGTCTGCTGGTTTGTGATAGGTATTCTTGTCCTTCAATGTATATGCTTGTTCTCTTTTTCTTAGATGAAGGTGTTTCATTAATAAAGGCATCAAGAAGATGCAAAGTTACAAAAGAACAAAAAGCACAAAAATACTAGTTTGTTAGTCCCTTTACATTGTGTCAGTCTAAACATCAGGGAACTAACAAAATCAAAAAATTTATCAAAGCTAATTACAAGAGTTAAGTTAGTCCAGCAAAAAAGGTTAAGCAGGCAACTAGCTTTAAGAGAGAGTTAAATTAGAGATCCCATCAAAACATCTATGATTCCTTTCATTGTACAAGCACCAAAAATTAACTGCAGGGATCATCACCCAGATCTTCTTGATGGTCTTGTCAACTCTCCATAGGCTCCAGCTTGCGTATGCTTCACCAACGTGCTGTGGCATGACTCAGTGAATGCCAAAGATAGAATAGAACATATTCCATAGATCCTTAGCCACTCTACGATGCAAGAACATGTGGCTGATTGACTCTAAACTGCTTTGACACATAGCATCTATTGACCAATTTAAATCCCCTTCTGTTGAGATTGTCTTGTGTTAAGCATGTTTCCTTAAGAGCAAGCTGAAGCAAATGACCTTAGCAGGCAGTTTGGTCTTCCAGATTAGCTTCCAAGTCCAGAAGTCAATTATCTGATTCTGAGATCTTAATAGCAGGTAGCATTCCTTCACAATGAAAAGGCTGTTGTCTCCCCAAATCAGTCTGTCTGCTTTGGTTTCATCAGCTTTGGTTTCATTGATGGTGCACCTCTCCACACTAGCTAGTAATTCCAACACGCTATCTATCTCCCCATCCTGAACATATCTTCTGAATAATACATTCCAATTGTTCCCATATCTGTTTTGAGCAATAGAGGAATTCTTATCTTGGGCAATCTGGAATAAATTTGGGTATACCTCCATGAGTGGGATATTGTATAACCATTTATCCTTCCAGAAACTAATGTTCAACCATTCTCAGCTTTGAAAGATACTTGCTCAGAGAATTCATTTCCCAGCTTGCTGATGTGCTGCCAACTGCCAAGGACCAACCCCATGAGATGTCGTAGATGTTTTTGTTCTCCAGTTATCCCTTCTACCATGTTTAGCAACAGTTACTTCTTTCCAAAGGCTGTCTCATCTGTACCGAACCTCCATAGCCATTTCATGAGCAGACTTTTGTTGTGTAAGGCCAAGTCTCTAATACCCAATCCTCCATTGCTTTTTGATTGTGTGACATTGGACCACTTGACGAGATGGTATTTGTGGGAGCTGCTGTTACCTTCCCAAAGAAAGTCCCTCCTGATCTTGTCTAGCTTCTTAAGTACCTTGTTAGGGATGGGAAATAATGACATGTAGTAAGTGGGGATGCTATCAAGGACACTATTGATGAGAGTTAATCTCCCTCCCATGGAAAGATACGGCATCTGCCAAGCTGCTAGTCTCTTTCCAAACTTTCCAATGATCCCATTCTAGATTTCGATAATCTTGTATTTGGCTCCAAGGAGGAGACCTAGATAGGTGGTAGGGAGTGACCCAATTGTACAACCCATAATGGTAGACAGTTCCTCTAAATTAGGCACATCATTGACTGGTTTACATGATACTTTTCATCATGTTGATATGTAAACCTGATAATGCTTCAAAGAGGAGAAGTGTTAAATTCAAATACAACAATTGTGATATTAGAGCCTTACAAAAGATGAGTGTATCATCAGCATATAGCAAGTCTGACACTGTGACTGAGTTCCCAGGATTAGTACCCACATTGAATCCCTGAATCTACTGCAACTGTTTGGCCTTATCCAACATTTTGCTCAGACCTTCTGTTGCTATAATGAACAAAAAAGGGGAGAGGGGATCTCCTTGTCTGATCCCTTTTTGAGGAGAGTAGAAACCCACCGGACCCCTATTGACTATCACTTAGTTTTTCACAGTTGAGATGCGGAATCTGATCCATCTTATCCATCTGTCTCCAAATCCCATTTTCGTAAGTATAGAGATGAGATAGGACCAGTTGAGCTGGTCAAATGCCTTTTCTATGTCAAGCTTGCACATCACACCAGGTTCACGACTTCTAATCCTCCAGTCAAGAATTTCATTGGCAATCAGTGATTTGCCTGTGGTGTTTTATGAAGGCATTCTGATGGGTTGAGACTAGCTTGCCAATAATCTTCTTCAGTCTCTCTGCAAGAAGCTTCGAGATAATTTTGTACACACTTCCTATGAGACTAATTGGCCTATAGTCTCTTAACTCCATGGCTCCTTTCTTCTTGGGAATTAGTGCAATGAATGAAGTGTTGCATGATTTAACCATATGACAATGTTGGTGGAAGTGGTTGAGAGCCCCCATTACTTCTGGCTTGATAAAGTCCCATGCTTTTTGAAAGAAAGCCATGGTAAACTCGTTTGGACCTGGAGCTTTATCTGGGGCACAATACTGGATAACAACATGGACTTCTTCTTCATTGAAAAATACTTCTAACATTTCTTTGTCAACTACTGAGATTCAGGCCACCTCCTCAAAATTGGCTGTAGGCCTCCAAACTTCATTTTCAGTATATAAGTTTGGGTAGTAATTTAGGATTTCTTCCTTGATCAACTCCTTGTCATTAATTACTTCACCGCCCACCTTAAGCTTGTCTATAGTGTTGTGTCTTCTATTTGAATTGGCCAATTTTTGGAAGTGTTTAGTGTTCCTGTCTCCTAGCCACCGGCATCTAGACTTTTGTCTCCATGAGATCTCCTCAGCTTTGCCAAGTTCTGTAGCTCCAATTTCAAACTCAGAATCCTTTGCTTTTCAAATTGTGTAGGGACTCTGTTTTCTATAACCTGCTCTAGGACTGAAAGTTTATCAAGTGCTTTGCCTCTTCTATCATCCACTCTGTCATAAAACTCTCTGTTCCATTTGCTTATATCCTTTTTCAGGTTCCTCAGTTTTTGAACGATGATAAAATCAGGCGAGCCACCAATCGTGTAGTTCTGCCACCACTCCTTTAGCATATCAATGAACCCATCTTGGTGCAGCCACATGTTCTCAAACTTAAAGTAGGATGTTGTTGCTTCCCACTCACCATACTCCAGTAGTAAATAATGGCTTGTGATCAGAGGCACTGGTTAATGATAACCCATCTTGCTGCAGCCACATGTTCCCAAACAGTGTCTTCATTCATTGCTGCAGCCATATGCTTGTTCTCTTATAAAAATGGCACTGGTTTTTGCATGTGAAAACATCAATTCTTGTGGTATTAAAGCTTAGCATGTTGCTTCAACTCTACTGGAGCGTTGAAGCATGCAGAAGGTCATTATATTAACTCTTGATTTTCAGTTTGCAAGTATGTGAATAAGTCCTTCATTTGTATTGCCCTCTTGAGAAGGTAATATGATAACCTTTTTACATTGATTATATAAAACAGTTATTGTTGTCTTTACTCTTACCTTTTCTCGGACTGTTGCAGAATATTTCTTCTTTCAAGAATGTAACTTCAATGTACGTTTGACATATTTGGCTGCACACATTTGGTTTCGAATTATGCTTCTGTTAAGAAAATGACTGAAAATAATTGTGCTGTTGATTCAGATGAGCATACTTACTCTTCCAATTATTCGTCGGAGAGCTCAGTTTCATGGAGAGGTGATGGCAAATACTTTGCAACGTTAAGCAGGGTGAATAATTCTCATCTCTCCCATAAGAAGCTTAAAATCTGGGAACGGGACTCGGGGGCACTCCATTCTGTTTCAGAATCAAAGCCTTTCATGGGTTCAACTTTGGATTGGATGCCCAGTGGAGCCAAAATTGCTGCAGTTTATGACCGAAAGGAAGATAGAAAATGCCCATCTATAGTTTTCTTTGAGAGGAATGGATTAGAAAGAAGCTCATTTTGCCTCAATGTAGAAGTTGATGCTACTGTAGAATTTGTGAAGTGGAATTGTAACTCAGACCTTCTAGCTGCTGTGGTCAGAGGTGAAAAGTACGACTCTCTGAGGATCTGGTTCTTAAGTAACAATCACTGGTACTTAAAGCAAGAAATCAGATACATGAAGGATGATAGAGTCAGATTCATGTGGGATCCGATAAAGCCTCAAGAGTTAATTTCTTGGACTGTTGGTGGGGATATCACAACCTACAACTTCGTCTGGATTACAGCTGTCATGAATAACTCAGTGGCACTTGTAATTGATGACTCCAAGATACTAATAACCCCTCTTTCTTTATCTCTCATCCCACCACCTATGTACCTCTTTTGTTTGAAATTTCCCTCTGCCATTCAGAGTATGGCATTTTGCTCTAAAAGTTCTTTGAAACATCTGGCTGCATCCTTGTCAGATGGCAGATTATGTGTTGTAGAGCTTCCTGCTATTGATTGTTGGGAGGAGCTAGAAGGTAAAGAATTTGATGTTGAGGCTGCTTCTTTTGATTCAGGAGATAGATCTTTCATTCACCTAGCATGGTTGGATTCACATAAGCTTCTTGGTGTTAGCCATAGTCAAATTAGCAACTCAGCAATAAAAGAGTCCTCTAAGGATGAGCATTCTATATATTGCCTCCATGAAATTGAGCTTGTATGTTCTGAAGATCGTATTTCTAGTTCAGTGACATGCTCTGGTTGGCATGCTAAAGTTTTGAATAGATTATCTCTTGAAGGTACAGTAATTGGTATAGTTCCTGACCAGGGAAATGGCTGCTCAGCGTATGTTCAGTTTGACGGTGGGAAAGTGTTTGAGTATGCTTTGAAGGTGGCTGATGCCAGAGGGCTTCATCGGAAACGTGATGATATGAGTTTTTCTTCATCTTGCCCCTGGATGGATCTTGTGCAAATTGGAGGCTGTTTGCCGCAGAAAGCTTTGCTTTTTGGTCTCGATGACAGTGGTAGATTGCTCGTTGGTGAAAGGACATTGTGCAACAATTGCAGTAGTTTTTCTTTCTACTCGAATTCTGCTGACTACACTGTCACCCATTTGATTCTTGCAACCAAGCAGGATTTACTGTTTATTATTGATATTAGTGATATCCTGAAAGGAGAACTGGAGGTTAAGTATGGGAACTTCCTGGCAGTTTTCAAGCACAAAAAAGGAGAAGATGAAAGAAACTATATTCAAATATGGGAAAGAGGTGCCAAAATTGTAGGTGTTCTTCATGGGGACGAATCTGCTATCATACTTCAAACAGTTCGAGGGAATCTTGAGTGCATCTACCCCAGAAAATTGGTCCTCGCTTCAATAATCAATGCTTTGATCCAGGGGCGTTACAAAGATGCATTGCTCATGGTAAGAAGGCACAGAATTGATTTCAATGTTATAATTGACCACTGTGGTTGGCAAAACTTTGTTCAGTCAGCTGCTGAGTTTGTCAAGCAGGTGAATAATCTAAGTTATATAACTGAATTTGTCTGTTCAATAAAGAACGAAAAAATCATGGAGACACTATACAAAAACTATAGATCCCTACCTCATGACAATGAAGCTAAAGCTGTAGAACATGGAGACCTCGAGAGTTCTCATGGTAATAGCAAGATCCATTCTGTCCTACTGGCCATAAGGAAGGCTCTGGAGGAGCATGTAGCAGAAAGTCCCGCTAGAGAACTCTGCATTCTGACCACTTTAGCTCGAAGTGACCCTCCAGCTCTTGAAAAAGCTTTAGAGAGAATAAAAATTATCCGAGAAAAGGAATTATCGGGTTCAGATGACCTGAGAAGGGAACTCTACCCTTCTGCCGAGGAAGCTTTAAAACATCTTTTGTGGTTGTCCGACTCAGAGGCAGTTTTTGAAGCTGCATTAGGACTTTATGATTTGAACCTTGCAGCTATCGTTGCCTTGAATTCGCAGAAGGATCCTAAAGAATTTCTTCCCTATCTACAAGAACTAGAAAACATGCCAATAGTGTTGATGCAATACAATATAGACCTTAGATTGCAGAGGTTCGAGACTGCACTTCAACACATTGTTTCTGCAGGAGATGCTTACTTTGAGGATTGTATGATCCTCATGAAGAAAAATCCCCATCTTTTCCCCTTGGGACTCCAATTAGTTACCGACTCTGTCAAGAAAAACCAAGTACTTGAAGCCTGGGGAGATCATCTTAGTTCCAGAAAATGCTTTGAGGATGCTGCTACTACTTATTTGTGTTGTTCTTGTTTGAATAAAGCTTTGAAGGCTTATCGTGAATGTGGTAATTGGGGTGGGGTTCTGACGGTAGCTGGTCTCATTAAACTTGGGAAGGAGGAAGTGTTGCAACTAGCACATGAGCTTTGTGAGGAACTCCAAGCACTAGGTAAAACAGGGGATGCTGCAAAAATAGCTTTGGATTATTGCGCTGATGTTAATGCTGGTACTGGTTTCTTGGTCAGTGCAAGGGAATGGGAAGAAGCTCTGAGGACTGCATTTCTTCACAGGAGAGATGACTTGGTCCAGGAAGTAAGGACTGCATCACTTGAGTGTGCCAGCTCATTGGTTGGTGAATATGAGGAAGGGTTGGAGAAAGTGGGGAAGTACTTAACTCGCTATTTAGCGGTTCGACAACGGAGATTATTACTTGCTGCCAAGCTACAGTTAGATGAGCGATCAATAAATGAACTTGATGATGATACTGCTTCTGAAACTAGTAGCAATTTCAGTGGAATGAGTGCATACACCTTGGGGTATGTGATTTCTTAATAAGCAATCTTGGGTTGTCTTATTGTTTCTTCTAAATAATTGATTCTTCTCACATCATATGTCGTGCTGTTACCTTCCTTTCCAAATATTGCTTCTCTCATTTTCATCATTTTGTGGATGTATACTCTAATATATGCACTGATAACCCTCTGACGTGTTCCTTGCATCTTCCTGTTGTCCGCTGTGTAGGAGCTAATTATTCTATTTCAATGGAAATATGTTTTTAAAGTCCAGCTTCCTAACTACCCTCTTTCATAAGCAGGACAAGAAAGGGATCAGCTGCATCTATCAAGTCCAGTGCTAGTACAAAAGCGAGAGACATGAGACGTCAACGGAATAGAGGGAAAATACGTGCTGGCAGGTATGTTATTATGCAAATCTCATATTTCTTTTTGATGCTGATATTATTTTAGTTGCTGATCCTTGTCTTCATGGCACATTGCAACTCAGTCCTGGTGAGGAGATTGCTTTGGTAGAGCATTTAAAGGGGATGTCACTGACTACTGGAGCTAAGCGCGAGCTTAAATCTCTCTTGATATGCCTTGTGATGCTGGGAAAGGAAGATATTGCTAGGAAGTTGCAACATGTTGCTACAAATTTTCAACTGTCCCAAATGGCAGCTGTAAATTTAGCTGATGAGGCCTTGTCAAATGATAGAATCAATGAGCATTTCTATGTTCTGGAGAATTACATCCCCAAAATAAAGGAAGAAATGCAGCATTCAGAGCTTTTCTCCTGGCAGTCAAAAGTATTAATTTGAAATGCAAAGGTATGCCATTTGGTTCTCTCTCATTTTTGTTACTCTTGTTCCTTGCTCTTCTCCGATAATGCGGTTGAGAGAGGTTCTGGCTTGAGCTCAGCATTAGCCTGTAGTTTATAATGGTGATGGTACATTTTAGTGACCAAACTTCACTGTTTCAGCAACTAGTAATACTAAGAAAGATGTTACTGAGCAATTCGACAAGTGTTGAAATCCGGTACAATTGTTAACACCTTAGTCCTTGATAATTAAATGAATAGGGAATATCAATCCACAAATCTGCCCAACTGTGCTTACATAGAGATACCTGGATAATATGCGTAGCAGACGCAGTATTCTCTTACATAGTTATACCTTGCATACTTAAAAAAAAAAAAAAAGAAAGAAAAAGGAATGGGCATTGTCATGTTGCTTTTTACCTGTGCTTGGAAGAGTTAACTTGCTAGATGGATTGATCACCTGAAGTCAATTTCTTCTGTTAATTTCACAGGCCTGATGGCTGCTTTTGTCTCATATTTAAGGTGTTGAGTAGCATAGATGGTTTTATTTACTGCATAATTTCTAGAGATACTAGTAGAAGTCTTCCGCTCATAATAAATCTGAACGAATCTTCTATTTGTTGGCTTAAGTTTTGCTCAGATAGCATTTATTGTATGATTCATAATGCCTTAAGGTAAGTTGCAATATCTATCTTCTCTATGTTAGCAGGCATGCCGTGTATAATCTGAAATGTCATCCTACAGCTGATGTGGTCGGGAGCACTACTGAGCATGGGAGATGGCAGAAAGTCCGAATTTCTTCTAGTTCTGATTAATCACCGAGGAGTTCCAAATTCTGGTCTCGTCTCCTAGTGAAATTACTTTCTTAGTGACATTGTAGGTTTTAAGCTTTTTCAGTTATGTATCTTGTGCCTTGCATTTTTCAGCAGAGTGATGGCGCTTTTTAACTAATTTAAATGTTTATCGGTTTTCGACATGTGGAATGCAAGTAATTTGTTGTCTGCTTTGGGAATATGGCCAAATATTTGTGAAAAATATAAGCCATTTCAATGCAAAGGATTCGTCTTATGCAGTATCACCGGAAAGATTTACCTTGTATTTTCCTGAATGCTTGTGAGAGTTAACTATCTTAAAACCTGCCTAATAGATTAAGAAGCAGATCCTTATTGGTTAATAAAAAAAATGCAAGGTTTATGAATATCTATTAAAGACCGAGTTTCTCTGGTTGGACATGAAGTATATCTTGTTCAAAATGCTCTACTGAATCACTCTCTCTGCCTTCGAGATGAAATGTCATCTTGAAACTAGTTAGAGTAGTACAAAATTGCTTTGCTCATGCACGCATTTCAGAGGTGCAACACTTCTCAATTTGGGTTTCATATTTATCCTATATATCATGTTCATTGTGGAGCTATGTTCTACGTGAATCCACATTCAAAGAACATAATATCAAAGTCGCACAATTAGGACCTCGATATGTTTTTATTCTAGCGATGATTTGCTGTCTTCTTTTTCAATATGAATGTAGAGATAAGTTGAAAAGTAAAGGACGAAATGGTATAAAGTGGTTGAACTTGTATACGTACTCATGTCTTTAGTGATCCAAATTTAAACAATTGAGCGATAGTTATTGGCAGAATGGAACGGTATTATGGTAGGAATACATCGGAAATGAAATCTACAACCTACATTAATGTGTAAAGAAATGAAATGGTTTATGTTGTGGTTGAATAGCTAACTTACAGCTTGTTTGGATGGTTGTTACTTATTGTATCGTATTGTATTGTTATTTCAAAACAATGCTTGTTTTGATTGTTTCATTAAAATTGGTTGTATTGTATTGTTAAATTCATTGTTCCGAAACAATGAAAAGTCCTCTTTTTTGAAACAATCGACTAGGTGTGGTGGGATTGTTTCCTATTTTTCTTTCCAATTATGCCCTGACTTATTACTCCATAATTTTATTTTACCTTTTACTTTTTTTTTCTATTTTAACTCCAAATCTCCAACCTATAACCTACTTTGTTGTTCTGACCAGAACTTCTGCCGCCAACGTTAAAGATGTTTTGCCGCCTTCTATTTTATTTTTTCTCCTAATTTGCTTTTAACTCAATTTTAATTAGTTGTGCTCCTTTGTTTTGCCTTTTTTTGTCTCACTTCTTTGTTCTGCTTTCTTAAGGTGTTTTTCCCTCTTCTGTTTTGTCTTTTTAAATTATTTTTATGCAAAATTTTTGATAAATTTAATATTTAAACAATTGAGGGTATTTTTATAAATTTATCAGTTACAGTACAGTATGATACACTCAAACCAAACAGCAAAATATTATTTAACATCAACAAACAATACAATCTATCCAACCATTATATTCATAAAACGATACGATACAATACAATACATTATAAAACGATGGGGAACAGTGATCCAAACAGAGTGTTAAGACATCTTTGCATTCAGATTTTTTCTAGTATAAAATGTGTATAATCTTTGTTTACTAAGTTACTAAATCTATTAATTAATCCAGCCCATAACAGTAAAGGGTCCATAGCTCAGTGGTAGAGCATTTGACTGCAGATCAAGAGGTCACCGGTTCGAACCCGGTTGGGCCCTTTTTTAATTCTGTTTTTACTTTTGCTTTTTCCCTCCATTAAATTGATTTGCGAAGCTTCTTCTTCATGTTTTTAATTATTTGAATATTTTTCTTCATGGCATGACATGATAGAGAGTACTTAATATCTGAGCATGGATTTGAGATTATTACTTAATATAATTTTCCTTCCAACTCCTTCCTATAAATAAAATTAACACACATAAAAAGTTAATCATTTTTTCTTTGACCTTATCTTTAACAATTCTGGAGTCACCAAATGTTCGTAAATTTTAATTCCTTTCCTCTTTTCACCGATAATGATTTTTGTTGGTATAAAATATATAGCATATCTATCTATATATTATATATAATATGAGAATCAAATCAATGTGATGATGCCAAGTGTCACAAGAAAAAATTCAATAAGTGTCAATTTTAGTTAAGTTAGTTAATAATTAGTTACTCTTTTTGAATTTGAATTTAAAATAATTAAATATTGATATATTTTTAAGAAAATATTATAAAAAAGGAATAAATATATAAATATATAACTCAATGTAGATATATATAAAATGATAAGACTAATTTATTTTTTGAGATTAGAAAATATTTAAATAATAATTGATGTGGTCATGCTATATGCTATACGGAAAAACTAAAGACAAAAACATAAAAAATAATTTCAAAAAATAAATAAAATACATAAATATATAATTTAACTTCTTATGTAGTAATATTAATAAAAAATTAAACTTTCATATTAAATACAAGCGGGAAGAAGAATTCACTTTAATTTCTTATTGAAAATAATACAAAAATAATAACTATTACAATATTATTAGCAAATTTGTGACATATATTAAAAGAACTTCTCTGTTTAACCTTTTTACTAATTCAACACCATCCATTTAAAAAAATAATGTCATAATATTCATATTATAGATAAACGCTAAATGAAATAAATAAAACATTATAAAATAAAAACTAATGTATAAAGAAAAGAATATATATAATGTGATTGTATCCACACTTTAAATTTATTTGATAAAATTTAGTAAATAAATAATACTAAAAAATATTATTGATAAATTAAAATATCAAAATAATTATGAGAAAGTCATATAGAATAAGTCAAGTTAAATTTCAAGAGTAATACAAAATTATATTCACTATATTATATTAAACTGGTAATTTATTAAAAATTTATATGAAAATTTAATAATATTAAGTAATGGATAATACAATTAGATAAGCAATGAATTTAAAAAATAATATAAATTTATGGGAAAGTATAAAAATATAAAGCTGTTAATAATTGGAATTATGATGAGAAAAGTCAAACACACACACATAACTAAAATCATAATAAACAAATAGTTATAAAGGAAAAATATTTTTAAAAAATTCAAGCCATAGCATAAAAATTTATATACCAATTAAATTTCTCATGTAGGAAATTTTAGTTATTAAATAGAACTCATAATTTCATAATAAAAATTATAAGAATATAAAGATACTATTAGGATATTATGCATAAGATAAGCATATTATATACATAAACAAATTAACAATTATTAAAAATATTGATAGTTTTTTTATAAAAATAATAAAAGGTTTACTCTTTTATACTTTTGATTAATTCAAAATTATAATTTAGTAGAAATTACATTATTTAAATTTTCAGTAAACTACAAAATGAGAAAACTAATCAATTATTACAGTAAAAGAATGTACGAAAAGAGGGGGACAAAGATAATTTTATGATATTATATTTTGAATTAATTACAAAATAAAATATAAATAAATAACAATCAGAAAATAAATTAGGCGATTGAATTTTTTTTTAACAGTATAACATACGTTTAAAAAACATAAAAGTATTTCTAGAGTAAGAAAACATATATCTATGTTATATTAAAAGAAAAGTAGTATCAAAATAGTAAGCCAATTGACAAAGTTAATAAAAAGTCGTANTTTTTATTCCCGAGATAGTGTTGTGTAAGATTTCTCAAAGTAACTGCAAATTTGGGGCTTGATCTCCAAACTTCCTTGTTTCTTTTGTTAAATTGTACATATTTATCACTTTCGTAATAAATTATTATTAGTTTCCCAAAAAAGTTGCATTGTTTTCTTTTTTCTTTACTCTTCATTTCATGTATTACTTATTTGAATTGAAGAAAATACCTAGAAAAACAAAGGTTTTACTATCTGATGAAAGAAAAGTAATCACATACATTTATATGTACATCTAACAGATAATTAGTCATCATATATTAAAATCATACACACACACACACACACACATATATATATATATATAAAAGTTTCTTTAAAGAATCTTTTACAATAGAATATTCAGTTCGTTTCAGCACTAATTCTAATTAAAACTTATCTTTCTGATTCCATCATTATTGGTAAACGGACCCTGACCCGTGATTAGGTGGTCCCGGAGGGTCCGTAGATAAATATGGGACTTGGGCATATGCCCGGAGTCGAATTTCGAGATCGAGAGCCCGAGAAATGAATTTTTCTGTGAAATTATTTTTCTGAAATTATTAAGGAAAATGGAAATGAAAATTGATCAAAAGACTATGGTATCGGGCTCATATTTTGGTTCCGACGCCCCGTACAAGTCTTAAATATGTGTTAAGCGCTTTCTGTAAAGTTTGGTCGAAATCGGATGTCATTTGACGTGTTTCGGACCTAAATATCTAAAATTAGAAGTTATGAAGTTTGAAATGAAAATGTTGATTTTGAGGCTTGATTCATTGATTTTGAGGTATTTTGGCGATTTGATCGCTCGAGTAAGTTCGTAGGATGTTATTGAGTTAGTGTGTGTGATTGGTTAGGAGCCCCGAGGGCTCGGGAGTGAATTGGAGGTGGTTCGGGGTGTTTTTGCACTTAAGAAGTTAGCAGATTTTCTGCAATTTTTGCACAGGGGTTTTCTTCATCGCGTTCGCATCACTAGGTCCGCGTCCGCGTAGTTCTGTGCCTTCCCACCTCGCATTCGCGTCTTCACCCTCGCCAACGCGTAAGCTAAATTCAAGCCCCAGTATTTCCCTTCATCGCGCTCGCGCTCTGGCCATCGCGATGGCGATGATTTGTTGTGTCCTCTATCGCGCTCGCGTCCCTTAACACGCGTTCGCGTAGGCCAATCTTGGACCCCAGCATTTCTCCTCTACGCGTTCGCATTCCCTTTCACGCGTTCGCGATGCATTGCCCAGTTCGCCCTTCGCGAACGCGACCCCTTTCCCGCGAACGCGAAGGGCAATTTTGCCCAGTTATATTTTAATGTCCAGAACAGTAGCAGCACGGGAATTCCTCATTTTTTTCACACGAACTCTTCTCCCTAACACTCCATAGACGAATTTTGAAGGCCTTTTCCTCCATAGCTTCTTAGATAAGTGTTCTTAACTTCATCCTCTCTTAATTTCTTCATCTAATCACTAAATTCCTAGCCCTAAATCATGAAATCAAAGTAGAAATTAGGGGTTTTGGGTAGAGTTAGGGTTTTGAGAAATTTGGGTGATTCAACCTCAATTTGGGGTCGAATCTTGAAATAAATTATATATTTGAACTCGTGGGGTTATGGGTGATTGGGTTTTGGTTCGAGCCTCGTGTTTGGACCATGTGGGACCGGTGTCCAATTTTGGTGTTTTTGGAAGAATGATTGGAATTTCATTTCTAGGCTATGGGATTATGTTTTTGAGCCCTTATCGATATTATTGAACTAATTATGCCTAGATATCATTGTTTCGGAGTTGGATTGTAGAGGAAAGGCGGTATTAGAGAGTTGATTGCTATTCTTGGACCGAGGTAAGTGTTTGTTCTAACTTTGGCTTGAGGGAATAGGATTAAGATGTTATTTGCTACTTGCTAAATGTGGAGTACGGTGTATAGGCATGGTGACGGTTGTCTATGCACCGGAGTCTAGCATGACCGTGAGTCTTAATTGCTTTTAATTCGAATGATGCGACACAACTTCCTTGTTTAATTGATAGATTTCATATAATGTGAACGGTTGAGGAAGAATTGTGATTGGTATATTTTGGAGCGCTGGCTCGAACAAGAATGTGATAGTTGAGAAATAAGTGATTTAAAAGAGGATGTGTTGTGATTATCCCGTTGCCGGGACGTGTAGACTATTATTATGTACTCTCCCTTGCCGGGATATTTGGGTTGTTAGCTGTACCCTTGCCGGGATATTTGGGTTGTTAGCTGTACCCTTGCCGGTTTAAAGTGTTATGTTGTCGAATTCCCCTAATAGGGCCTTCTTTACAAAGTCAGATATTTTGAACTATGATATGGGATCGTGTTGCACGCCGTCCACTTCGCCGTCCACTTTTATATAATGAAATGGGATCGTGTGGCACGTCGTCCACTTATATATATATATATATTATATTATGAAATGGGATCGTGTGGCACGCCGTCCACTTTTATATTATAAAATGGGATCGTGTGGAACGCCGTCCACTTATGAATTAAGAAATGGGATCGTGTGGCGCGCCGACCACTTTTATATATGAGCTATGGTATTGAGATAGTATCGTCGTTATATCCGTTGATCTGTGTTCGCTGTATTTTCCCCGAGCATGCCCCCTTCCCCTTTTTAGTTGATATTCTCTGTTGTTTTTTCTGTTGCCTTTGTATATATATATATATATCTGCACAGGTTGTTTTTGGTAGGTCCTGTCTAGCCTCGTCACTACCTCGCCGGAGTTAGGCCAGGCACTTACCAGCACATGGGGTCGGTTGTGCTGATGCTACACTTCTGTGCTTTTTGCACAGATCATAGTACCGGAGCAGGAGCTTTTGGACAGCAGTAGGAGCGTTTGGAGCTTACTTCAGTCCGGAGATTTCCGAGGCAGCCTTGCTGGCGTCCGCATGGCCCGGAGTCTCTCATATCTCTGTCTTTCGTTTGATTTCCCTTGTATCGGATCAGACAGTACTGTATTCTTATTCAGACTTTGTTTTTAGCACTCAGTAGAAGTTCATGAGTTAGTGACACCAGATCTGGGTAGAGGTGTATTTGAATTTCCGCACTTGGTTTCAGTTATTTATATTTTTGGGACTTCCGCTTTTATATTAATTGCCTCGTTCTTCTTTATACTGTTAATGATGTTGAGAGAAATGTTAAATTAATTGGCTTGCCTAGCTCCTATTAGTAGGCGCCATCACGACTCCCAAGGGTGGGAAATTCGGGTCGTGACATTTGAAAAACAGTTTTTTGGAGTTTTTCAAATTTTCGAAAAATTCCAAAATTCATCTTCAAATGAAAATTGGAAATTTTATGGTAAAACACTGATTTCGAAAAAAAGTGAAAAAATTTCGAAAAAAAAGTCAAAAAATTCTCATGTCCAAACGGACTCTTATTTGATGTCCAGAAAGTCTGCAAAAAACTTAGATACAGCACATCTTATTTATGGCATTCCTTATTATATTATATTAATTACTACTAGTTTGCTTGTCCGTGAGTCACTTCGTTTAACTCTCCAAGGTCCCCTTAAAAAAGAAGAAGACTCCATGAAAATTAAAGACATCATTTATGACAATCATTGGGATCCTAATAAAATATCATTCGAAATTCCTAAGGATATAACTACTAGTATCAACCAAATTCCAATGCCTCTGAAAACGGGGTGCTGTGACACTCCGATATGGAATCTTAATTCTAAAGGCTGCTACGCCAGTAAATCATGCTCTAAATTACTCCAAATAAACACTAATCACTAATATGACTTCAAGTGGATTTGGAAACTACAATACCCTAGCAAAATAAAAATTTTCCTCTGGCAATGTCTACACAATAGAATTCTATGTCGTCAATATCTTTATCACATTGGCATTAATATAGATAACCAATGCCCCATGTGTCACAATGAAGATGAATCCATCACGCACATCTTCACAAATTGTACCATTGTTAAAACCCTATGGGAGGATCTAGGTATCAGGAATCCCACTCCCCCAAACAATCAACACTGTCTAGTGCATCTAAAAGATAGCAAAACTAGCTTCCAATCTCCCTTTATCAACTGGCATCAACTCTTTCCTTTCATCATATGGGGAATATGGATTAATCGGAACAATAACAACTGCAACAACACTACTAACACTCCCAAACTCCAAAGACTAATAGACCAATCCATAGAGTTCCACTTCATGAACTCAAGAATGGCCACTATACAACACAAGAAGAAAATCAATATTAAATGGCACCCTCCCCAAACAGGCTGGACTAAGCTTAATATCGACGGGGCCTTTGATAAGAAAGGAAGTGGCACATGTGGTATCTTCCGGGACTTCTCAGGAAAATGGATAATACGATTTCAGAGATCTTGTTACAGTCTATTTTCCCTTCACACTGAATTGCAGGCATTATATGATGGACTACAAGTGGCGCATAGGTTCAACCTATTTCCATTGGAAGTGGAAACCGACTCAACCGACGTAATCAATGCAATCAACAATGGTCACAGCACCCTAGCTAATCTAATATACTCTTGCAGGTTGTTAATGCGCCAGGAGAAGCACCTACTGCTACATCATAACTTTAGAGAAAGAAACGCAATCGCAGATGCATAAGCTAAGGAAGCAAAAAACAAAGAAAAAGATTATAAGCCGGAGGAACTAAAATTATATGCTGCACCGCCGTTTTGTGTACAAGAAATGCTAGCCATGTACAAGAGCGGGACTAGTAGATGCTCAAAGGAATTACCTATTTCTGCTTGTAATATGCTAAAAGCAATGGGCAACCAAAACATCTCTAGTAACTCTATTTTGCATATGGGTCTATCCCAAAGCAATGTCACAATATGTGACCATAATGCTATGTAATGATGTTTTAACTATTATATATATACTAGCGGAAGTAAAGCCCGTGTTGTCGCACGGGCCCAACGTAGTACTATTTTAATTGGTATTTTCCAGAACATACCCTGTAAATAATTTTAATTTTTAATCAATATTCTCAAGTATTAAGAAAAAATTTTAAAATATTTAACTGCTTAGCTATAGAATATCCTTAATGAGTCAACTTTCTCGAGATTGAACATTAAATACCAATCGGCAATTCAATAATTTTAACTAAATTTTAGATATAGTTATTATATTTAAAGTTCGCATCTGATATTAAAAATAACTATATATAATAAGTGAGTGTGAGAAATATTTTTGGACGGAATATTAACACAAGTTTCCATCATTTCTTATTTTTGCAGGATAATCAAATCAGTTTCAAACGATAGTAATGCAAATAGACATATCACTAACAACTCAAGAAGTAACTAAATTAAAATATTGTAAATTGTCAGTTTTTTACATAATATATATTCTGCTATAGCAAATATAAATTAAATTAATAACTAAATTAGTAATTAGCTTAAATGTTAGTATTTAAAAATAAATAAACTCATGACAATATAAGGGTTAACAGTTTAGAAATATTATCGTAAAAGTTAAATTAGAAACTAATTTTAAAGTTGCAAAATTAATGTAAAATTTTACAATAACTTTTATTTGCATAATATTACTTTTATTAGAAAAAATAAAGGTATTCACCTTCCTTTTATATTTAGTGAATTTATTTTGCTACGATCTAACTTGTGAATTCTATATATTCAAGTTTAACTGTTGATTAAACGTATTTGCTGTTCAAAGTCAACAATTAGAATTGCATAAAACTTATTTATTTAATTGAATTCAAATACAATTTCCTTTTTAATTTCTCTGCTTGAAATAAATTAGCTGCCAAATATACTTGATTTAGAAAATCTTAGATTTGGTTGAAGTATTTGTATTATGTGCTTATAAACTGATGCAACTTTCAAGGAATAGTGGTCTAAGAATTTGTATTATGTATATGTGGAGAACTCTTGGATAAATATGTATTCAAATGGGTCCCACGTCTATGCATCTGATCCCCCGAAATTTACGTGCATCTGATAATTGTGGGTCCCACCTTTTTCCTTTTTCACTGGGGAGAAAGTAGGCTTTGAAAATACCTCAAAACTTTTCTTTATTTACCAAATTGTATAATGGCAATTAATGTAATAACACCGAAAAATAGGGGTAAAAATAAAACGGTGGAAGCTGGCATGTCGACGAAGACGTCTATGCTTCACCTGTTTCAAAATTTCCTTTGTTCTCTAAATTGTGGGTCCCACCTTTTTCCTTTTTCACTGGAGAGAAAGTAGGCTTTGAAAATACCTCAAAACTTTTCTTTATTTACCAAATTGTATAATGGCAATTAATGTAATAACACCGAAAAATAGGGGTAAAAATAAAACGGTGGAAGCTGGCATGTCGACGAAGACGTCTCTGCTTCACCTGTTTCTACCGTGCTTCTTATATAGGAGAATACTAGATGGGATTGGCCCGGGCAATGACATAAAACCTATTACAAGAACAATAGCAGACAGCAGGAAGACATTAGTCATTCCTTGCTCAACTTTCATATTCAATTTTCTTAGTTCTTTTTACATAGAAGTGGTAGTTAAAGTTGGGCGAAGGTTAAGTTTACGGCAAAAAAGCCATTTTGAAGATAAAAGAACAGCAACACAATCCCTTTTCACAGCTTCGAGTCACATTATCCAGTTTTTCCTCATTTCAAGGTCTATCTGCCTACTGCTTGAACAACATTCTATAGGTTTAGTCCTGCAACAATGATTAGTCAAAAATGTTGTAAAACATTATACTTAGTAGTTATTGTTCCTTTAGATATTTGCAGCAGGAAGGATAATAGTTTAGCAACGACGATTTGTAAGCATACAAGCCAACCCTTATTTATAGCATACTCGCTAAAGGTTTGATTCAATAAGAATCAGTAAAATGAACAACAAGCAAAACAACTGGCAACATGATATTTTAATCTCTTTGCCTTCGTTAGGAAAATGTCGATTAAAAGCATCAGATTAACAAAGAATTACCGGACTGCTTCATTTGTCTTATATGGAAAAATTATCCATCTTCAGCAAAATTTAATGGCGTATTTCTTTAATGGAGATAATTCACAACAACTCCCGAACATGTATCATTCAAAAAATAAAACAAATCAGCATATAGTTGCAAGTGTAGTAGAAAAGTTGAGTTTAGCATTACCTCAGCTGATGAATGCGAGGACAAGCATTTGTTGTAGTCAGCAAGACATGAGAATTTAAGCAGAAGTCATTCTACTCATACTGACAGTTTCCTTCCTCTCTCTTATCATACTGACAGTTTCCTTCCTCTCTCTTATCATACAAGCCTGTAAACCTTCAGTTTCTACAAGTACAGAAAAGCATTTCTTCAACAAATATCAACATCATAGCAAACACCAACATTTACCATAGAATCTAACACTTTCTCGAAAAACATTGTGTTTCATCTGAGAAGAAACTTTATAGTTTTGTTGATCAAGTATGTGCAGGTAGCATCAATGACTTCACGCAAATGATTGTACTCTTAACAGAACCCAACGGCTTTGGTATGATGTAAAGCTAGAGTAATTGGCATCATAACTTTTGAGCAAACCAACTGAAAGAATGCTTATAATCGATATACCTGCACTTACAGAGATGTCAAAATTATAAACCATAATCTAATAGAAAGTTTCCACTAAATAACAAAGATGGGGATGTTGAGAGAAACAGATGTACTCTTTGTCTCACTCACTCCTTCTGTTTTCTTTGTTATATCCAAATGCAGCTAAATTGTACTGTGATTTTAGCAAAGAATTCCAAAAGAAACTACAAAAGCAATTGGGAAAGACTTTAGCCCTCTCAGTAATCTTGGAATTCAAAGGAAAATCAGCTCTTGGAGGTTTGATCAACATAGATTTAATTTTTCCTATAATATTCAGGCATAAAAGACTGTACCAATTGCAGTAATTGTTAAGAATTAACTGAACTGAAAATTACTTCAACAGAAACTACTAATAAACCTATCTTAATCTCAGTAGAAACGCTTATACAACCTCTAGAACGGCGTCTTGCATATAAATTGACTCTAACTCTAACTGAACCTTATTGGTTCAAGAGTATTAGTTAGCAAATATAAGTGATGCATATTGTGCCAATAGATATGTACATCGAAATATGTTTGGTGCTGGAAAACTAAAGCGGTGTTTTGACATTGTAAATATGTACAACAACACTCTAAAATAACATATAAGAACATACGATTTATATTATTCTCCATAATAAAACCAAATGTATTTTGAAATTGCGCAAAAATGGACGATACAAAGATAATATTAAAGCTAGATTAGATTGTCTAAATCAACTGATTAAATAAGTTTCTATAGTATGCCAAAACGTTAGGCAACAACAAAAACTCTTATAGTTTTCTTGTGGAACAGAGGATTAATAAGGTTCATTCATGACCTTGCAATATGAGCCACCCACAACACTGTCAAGCAGATGCCTCGCAGTCCATGCTTGTTTATTTTCATATGAACTTCAGTAAAATCCTATGTGCATTTTATGACCTTTAATTCATTCAATCCATCAATAAAATGACAGAAGAATGACAGAATGCTAAGAAACTCAATTTCGAACCTAAGGTTAAAATCAGCTAAACGAAAATACAAACTAAAAAAAAAGCAGAGAAAGCAGGAATCCATGATTAATCACCAGTTTGCTCCACCGTAGCTTAACTCTCACCACCGAGAACCTCTCTTTACTTCTCTTAATCTTCTTGAAATCCAACGGCAACTCACTTTACCACCCAATTGACGAAGTTGTCGAAGCATTCAGAGCCTTAGATATCACCACCAACTCCAATTTCATAAACCGAAAATTCAGTTCCTTAAAATCAAAATATAAGATATTCCTCTAGCTAATGGCGGAAATAGAACTGGAGAAGAAGAAACCAGCTTTAATTTGTGGTTAGACGATGTGGAGACTTTCGGCGGTAGAGAAACTCAGCCGAAACCCCAATTTCTCTTTGTCCAAAAAAATGACACAACATCAAGAACCGATGAATACAAAAGTGGTACAAATCCGCAAAGGAAACGGACTTGAACTTGTATAACTGAAGGAAGAAAAAGATCAGAAAGGTGAAGAGTGAGAAGCGGTGGACTGCAAATTGACCTAGAAATCCCTATTCTAATTAGGGTTCAGTAACAGTCATAAGGGACATAGTAGACAATTCAATATACAGCTGGACTAAAATGACCAAATAGCCCTTGGTCGGCAAGCAGGGATGTCGACGGTCTCCTGCTTGCTTTAGGGCTCTTCTATATAAGTACTAGATGAGATTGGAAGCACGGGCCCAACATAGTAAATATTTGGTGAAAATAGCATGGGTTAGTCAGCTTTCGAACTGATAATTGGAAAATAGCATGCGTTTGCAAAGTTATTGAAAAATATTCACTATTTTAGCTGAAATACGGAAAGTTCCAGCATAATATGCTGGATTATGGAATTCCTACGTATAAATTTCCAGCATATTATGTTGGAACCCCAACACATTATGCTGGAATCTCATATGTAAAAAATTCGAAATGCAACATATTATGCTGGAATTTTTCCGGATTTTAAAAGGGTGTTTTCGTTCAGATTTTATCTTTACATGAAAAATAACCACATTTTGATTACTTTTGAAACTGTGGCTATTTTATTATCAATTGTAAATTAGGCTATTTCTATTTTTTTCCCCCAAATACTTGTGCCATAAATTTAAAATATTTACTTGAAAGCAAGTTCACACCTTGGAATTTCTAGCTTATCCAGCTTCTTAAAAGTGAACTTGCAATGTTCACATAACAATTAATATTTTATAATATATTTTATTCTCAATCGCTTGATTTATAGTCAAAAAATGCAAAGATATTTATAGCATATTTTAAGCTACAAGTTTCAAAACATCTGAATATCAAATCAACAAGTTCTTTTTGACAGCATTTTAGAGTTGCATTAAATTTTACAATACATGTATTGGAACTTCTTTTACAACAACATTGTATAGTTGTATAGAACTTTGTAATACATGTACTGCGACTACTAAATACAAGATTATAATTTTTTACAATACTCAAGTGTGACAACTCTCCGTTTGTAGTTTTCTACTAAATTTGTTTTCAGTTAAACCATTTTTCTCCTTACTCTTGGTTACATCATAACAAATATGTTGACTACATACCTTTGAACAAGACAAATCCCTTCATGATACAACAAAATGAGGCCTTTCTGAAAATGCTAAATTTTTACTCCTATTAGATGTAGAAGTAGGAAGTAACAGGTGGGGCTTATGTTCTGTTCAATAGTTAATGACTAAAATCAAAGTGAATTGACAACTTGAAAAGATTTATCCCTTGAAATTCTCGTTGGAATTTCCATGGAAATACTTGTATTGACCAGCTAAACATCGGATTATCTAATTCTTATTGTAGCAATTCGATCAACATTTTTACTGAGTGAATAGATTAACTTGGATAAAACTATTGCTGCAACTTAATTAGCATCAAAATAGAGAATTCATTTTTCTAATTTTACTGCAATTTTGTACGGAATATATTATCGGATAATTTTCTTAAAACCCAAATGGAGTTGTATAGTCTTAGTGATTAATTTCAACATATGACCTAACAAAACCAAATATGACGCTTATAAAAATAAATTAAGTTTGACTAAGAAGTTCAAAACTTTTCCTAAATAAAGCAAACATGTAATTATACTGTTTAGAGTTGTAAACAAAAAATCGTTTGGGTTCCTTTTATTTTATTGTTGTGCTCACTATTTTATGAGTGGTAATATGATGTATGTGGGTCTTTAACCGTTTGCTCACACCAGAAGTCTAGTCACCAATGTAAAGTTGCAAAGAAAGTTATTCATATGTAAAAGTTATACTGTACTGAAAAGTAGGTTAAACATAGTCAGTCAATAATAGCCTGAACAGCTGCAAACGATGTGTAAGCAAAAATGCCAAGTGGGACCTTCTGGTTCTGCGATATAGTGACGCGTGCCTGGGGACACATGGGGAATTAAATAAAAGAAGTATGGTTATTTTGTCCAGATGTGGAAACTTACAACGCATAGAACAATCTACCACCACAAAGTTAAAGCACAGAATACATGAAGTACCACAATTGCCCCCTGGTCGGCAAGCAGAGATGACAACGGAGAGCTGCTTTAGGGCTCTTCTATATAGTAGAATATATGTATATAATCCTATTACTAACTCAAAAAAAAAACATACAGTATATAGTGTACGGTTTACACGTGTCTTTCGAAATACCAATTCACCCATAAAGCATACTATATTTACGAATGCCTTTGGTGGTACTCATGAACCTTTACTTATTACATATAGTTTATTTTTACGAAACGAATATAAAAAGTCAGCGACCACCTAGGTGACAGAAGGTTTGATGGTTGCTTAGCTCAAGAGAAGACTCTGGAAGGCTATTAAAGTTGGGCAGTGAGAGTTCGATTCTCCCTTCTAACATGTCCCTTTAATAAACATTTTTCCTCTTATCATCAAGCTTCTTTCGTTTGCCCTATTCCAATTAGTTCTACTTTTTTGTTCTTTCGCTAGCCACTATTATGATCCTCACTACTTATTTTTTTCATTTCTTTTTCGTTGACTTTTGTTTGTTTTAACATTTTTCTAATTTTAAAACTTTATTTAATTAAATATAACAAATAAAGAAAAGAAAATTTACTTAAAAAGGGGCTCCAAAGTTTGTTTGAAGATGAAGTGGTCCTCTAGAATGGTAAAACCCACTAATCTTGTTTCTCATTAGTATCACAATGTCGCGTCGTCCATAATATTCAAATTATGGGTTTTTCTCAAAAATTTTATCATCATATTCAAATACTTGTGTATTTATGCAATGTAATTGGTAGTATTTAACGTTAAAAATATTAAGCATCCACGAACCCAAAATTCTGGATCTGCCATTGATAACAGTAGTAATTAACGGTGATGGTAGATGACGGCAATGACTGATAACAATGATGGATGATATATAGTGATGGTTGATAGTGATTGTTGTGGTAATGGTGGTTGATGGTGATGGTTGTAGATGATGGCTAGTGGTAGTGACATCTAATATTCGTGCTTGGCAGCATTAGTGGTTGTGGATGAGGATAGTGAGTAGTGGATGGTAGTAGTCTATAATGGCGGGGGATAATGATAGTAGTGGTGAAAGTATAAGAGTAATAGTGAAATATCATTTTTACATAAATTTTTGATTGTATAATATCTTAACGATATTACTCTGTTATAGCTGTTATCATTAAGATCCATTCAAACCTACTAAGTGGTTGCAAATTTTTTTAAAAAAAATACAGATTTAATGGTTAATATCTTAATGATTATTCAGATCTAAAAAACAGATGCACTTATTGACTGACATATGAATGATTAAGATTCAGACATCCATTAAGTGCAAACAAATAAGGTCTTAGACAATCTTAGCTTTTTATTCCCGAGATGGTGTTGTGTAAGCTTTCTCAAAGTAACTGCAAATTTGGAGCTTGATCTCCAAACTTTCTTGGTTTTTTGTTAAATTGTACATATTTATCACTTTCGTAATAAATTATTATAGTTTCCAGAAAAAGTTGCATTGTTTTCTTTTTTGTTTACTCTTCATTCATGTATTACATATTTGAATTGAAGAAAATACCTAGAAAAACAAAGGTTTTACTATTTGATGAAAGAAAAGTAATCACATACATTTGTATGTACATCTAACAGATAATTAGTCATCGTATATTAAAATCATACACACACACACACACACATATATAATATATATATATTATATAATATAATATATATATATATATATATATATATATATGTATGTATGTATATTCCTTCAAATTGTTTTTCTTCTTGTTTCTTTAAAGAATCTTTTAAAATAGAATATTCAGTTCATTTAAGCACTAATTCTAATTAAAACTTATCTTTCTGATTCCATCATTATAATAAAAAACTAAATTGTATATGCATATAACATAAAGTTATATATCATCTATCTCGAGTAAATTATTAAAAATAAAATCACTCATATATTCTATAATCGCACCAAGTATGGGCAGGTTCACTAGTTTGCCTAAANAGTTCCACCTTGACGAACACATCTTGGAGACAAGCTTTCCTATTATAGCCATTGAACAATTCATGACTAAATAGGATATTATCAACAATACTCTACCCTTCTATAAAAGCAGATTGTGCTTTTTCCAATTATAAGCTCAATTACCCTTTTGATTCGTTTAGTTAAGATCTTGGCAATGATTTATTCATAGCAGTGCAGCAAGTAATAGGTCCTATAGTCTTTCACTGTTGTAGGTGCTGGAACATTGGGGATCAAAGTTAGAGTTGTACAGTTCCATGCTTGCTTCATCTTACCTAATCCCACAATTGATGGTATAAAGTGGGATAAGATGGAATAAGTGTTGGGTTTGTTATTTAATAAATAGTAACAAAAGAGGTGGGAATGGAAAATGGTGGGAAAAAAATGGAGGGATGACCCGCGACCCGGTCCGGTCTAGCCCGTTTTTCTTTTTCGGATTAATTTAAATTCGTTTTAAATTTCCCGCAAAAATTTTCAACAGCCATGACTGTTCTGAGAGGTTGCAAACCTCTTCAGAGGGTCACACCTGTTCCAACAGCCATGACTGTTCTGAAAGGTTGCAAACCTCTTCAGAAACATCACCAAGTTGGCTATAATAGACCTTCAAATCCCAGAATATTTACTTACGAAATTTTATGAATCTTCTTCTTCTTCTTCTTCTATACAAAATATTCCAGTGTGTTTTACGACCATCGAGTGGTTCGCCGATCACCAGAGTTTTAGGTACCGATACACTGGTGAGTTAAATCGTTCTATCCTGGGAGGATATATTCCATAACATCGGGTATTTGAGGGGAATAATTTCCTTAAGGACACACTGTGTATTCAGTGGGCTCGATTTGTTCCTTCAACGTTTCAAAATTATTTTGAAGTTCGATTATTATTTTTCAGAATTACTTCTACTAACTTTCTGTTTTATTTTTCAGAAAGATTACTGTTTTATTTACTTACAGCAATACAAATAAATAACAATCTTAAGGAAATTATTAAATAACAATCTTAAGGAAATTATTAATTATACTTTGTATTCTGTCTGAATTTTATTGTTCTAATTTGAAGATATAAAAACTTCATCAGAGTATTGAAATTCAGAAAATGATTTGAAGAACATAAAAACTTCATCCTT